CACCCACCCAACAGCGAGAATATTGGTTGGGTGCGTAAGCGCTTCGCGGCCTCGACGTTTAGCATGTGAGATGGACAAGTGGTGGTTGCACCCTACTCATCACAAGGTGGGACGAGCGCTCGGTAGATACTTGTATCTCCCAATCTTGAAACTCATATCCTCGACTGGCGCCCGCCTTCCCGATCGAGACCCTGCCAGATGCAGCGCAGACGCAGCGCTGACGACAACTAGTCGCATACGGTTCTGCCTTGTACAGATGGGTCCATGGCGAGGCTGATGTCTGGGTCGAAACTTGTCGCCATGCGCAAGTCTCCATGGTCGGGCCTGTTGGAGGTGCAGATGCAATGCAGCATGCGCGACAGTCCTCCGTAAGTACTGGCCAATGAGGAGCATGTCTAGTCGATTAGGAAGGCGCCATGTATAGTGTTGTTGCTGCCTTGACAAATGGGAGTTGAGCATGTAGAGCTGGCGAGAGCGCAGAAGAATCGCTTTTTCTCAGAAGTATCAAGGCGATGATGGAGGGTTTACTTTTTACCCTTCGCCGGCCGCACATGGCGTTTATAGCGTCGCTGGATTCGACGGCTGGGTAGCAAACGGCCAGGGTGTTCGGCCGGGTGTCAGCTAAGCAGGGGAGGCGGAGGAATGCGTGCCCTCAGCCAATCACGTGGGCGTCGTTGTATCGATAGGCCTGTCCCGCGCGTACCCAGACTCCGGGGAAGTGTCTGAGGCAGCCGTGACTAAACCGCTGCGGGCGGCGTGCATGCGTGCTAAACAGTCACGGCCCAAAAGTATCCACGGCCTCTTTCCCCTCGTGTGCCCACCAGTTCTGTCGCGTCCGTCGCGTTCTCCCAGCTGCGCCCTGCCCGTCTATAAAGACCCGTCGCTCCTCCCCTCGACGTCGCCTGGTTTTCGCAGTCTGCTCGCACATCCTTCGGTATGCCCTCGGCCCCACCAGAATTTCCCTTGGAAACGTGCTAACGGGATGAAAGCCTCAACAGGAACCGCGACATGTCTCTCTCCTAGACTATTCGCGTCCTATGCGGGATGCGCTGCCATCAACACCAATGGCGGGGTTCGGCGACCCAAATACTCATGTCACGCGACAAAGCCATGGTGCGCCGTCGCAACCAACTCCCTCGAGACGATCGCTGCCAGACGGGCCGTGCAACTATCGCGACGCGCATATAGGACAGTGTGGATGTGACCAATTTTGGGACAAGCTCAGCGCCGAGCTGCATGATGAGAGCGCCGACCATCGGCCTAGCAGCGAGCGCTCCACGTGGTGTGTTTGCGGGCACCATGCCTGCTTCCATCTGAGGGCGTCGCGTGCGCCAGAGAGGCAGGCGCTGTCGATGAATCTCCCGCTGCCATCACTCTATGCGACAGGTGAAGATCCGCGCCAATTGCAGGCAAGCGCGCAATGCGACACGAGTGCTGCGATGCGACAGCTGGGGGACAACCTTCTGTCTGAAGGGGGTCAAGCCATATACAATGCGCGCATACATCAACACTCCAGTCCTAGCCAGCGCCCCCAGCGACAGTCCTCTGAGACCAACTCGTTTGGTCGCTTGCTACAAAGTCAGGACACTCCATCACAAACCAGCACGAGCGGCCTCCCTGGACTTCCTTCCGTGTGCTTGCTATCTCATGAACGCCGCCCAGTAGCTAACAGCGAAGCTAGGTATGGCGTGAATCAGTCGCGCCAGACGGTGGCAGGTCTTGGTCTTTCGATGATGAACTTGGAGAGCATGGCTCAGCTTAACCGTCAACAGTCGCCTACGTCCACTATCCCCGATGACATCAACTTCGCCCACACCCCGCAAAAGCTACCCAACGAGCCTGTCATCTCCCCGGGCAGAGCGAACATCACCAGCCCATCGCGCGGCATCCTCGAGCAGGTATTGGAGTTCAATCGCAACTTCCAGCCCGACGAGCCTGGCGATACCATACCCAACACCTACAACCCCGAGGAATACGTACAAAGCGCTACCGAGGTGGCTACTCCAAGCGTTGGGAACACTCCAGACCTGAGCGCTGCTGATCGGGCTGTACAGGACGGGAAGGACATGATTGACGCAATGAAGCGCATCACCTCGGAGATCCAACAGCAATCGACTAGCTCACCTGAGCGACAGACATATGGCACAGTTCCCACCCAGCTCTTGCCGAAGAACGCTACAGCAGGACCACAGGAACAGCTGCAAACCCTCCTCCAATCAGCTCAACCACAAGGTTTCCAGAAGCTTGTTTCCTACCTTGCCCCTCTCCATAATCTGCTGAACTCGATACCCAATGTAGCCAAAACCATGCAGGAACTTGGTAGCCGCCTAGACTTGCTGGAGAATGGATCTTTCAACTACGTTCAGCCGGAAGATCTTAACAACACGTTGGAGATGTACGAGGGTAGGCTAATTGACGTGGAGCATCGCATGGATGAGCATGAACGCATGCATGAAGCTATGGACGAGCAAAGTAGCACCAGCTCCTTTAGCCGAAGGCGCATCGACAACGCCACCACGTCGTTTGGCTCCAATCACTCTGTTGATTCCACCACTTCCTCCGCCCTTATCCTCGCGGCCATGGATCGCAAAGATACAGAAATGGAGCTTGATAACATTAAAGAGAGATTGGATGTGCTGGAATCCGCGGCGCCACCCACATCGCTCCAGCCTTGGGAAGTTGAGGTTGTCCTACTGCCATGGGGTCCGGACTTGAAAGGCATCTGGTTCTCGCCTGATGAACCCATGCATGACATAGCGAAGACAACAACCCAGAACTCTGAAGAGTGGACCCAAGCTCATACCTTGAAGACTATAAAAAGCCTGCCATTCCTCGGACGAGACTCCGATTCGAGCCCCTACCCTGGTGCTCGCAACTCGGCCAGAGGATCTATTCCTAGCCAGGCCGACAACGGGTGGAGTAGCCAGGACATTAGTAATTGGGCTTCGGGATCTACGGATGACTGGTTGTTTCCCAAAGCTTGTGGAAGCAACAACCTAGTCTACAAGCGACTCCAAAGCAGGGGTTTTGTCCGAGATGTTGCGTTCAAGGGTTCCAGCGCCAAAGATATTCAAGAAGCCTTGTCACATGCATTTTCTGATGTCTTCGATTACCTGCAGTACGACGACAGCGACGAAAACCCTATGATCTCTGCCTACCCAGGTCTTCGAGCGCCCTACATACCACTTCGAAAAGTACTCAAGGAGTCGCGACTACGTTTTCTTACGCCCGCCGAGATGTCCAGCAGTGCGCTCTGGAATGCTCAGTTTCTCTCAGCCGGTGTCATGATGAGAGTTTCCGGTGGAAAGAAAAGGCTTTACGTCACCGTCCGCGAAGCCTACACCCAGCAAGTCGATCGCAACGAGTTCGTTGTAATGGAACAGTCCTGGCCAGAGCTACGCCAACTACCTCGATATCAACCCGACCAAGACTCGCAGATGGAAGGCAACGACGAACAGTGCCAAGCGCATGTCCCTGAAGCAGATGCGAAAGAAGCATGTTGGCAGTTCGTCGAGACATACGATGCTCCGCCTGCTAGTGTGCATTCGTCTTTCGGGAGCAATCAGTCCGTCCAGCTCTCCATGCGACCTGCTGGTCGAAATTGGCGACGGTCAATCACTCCCAACTCGATACTGAAGAACAAGCAACCCCAGCCCATCTCTCCACTAAGCGAAAATCATCCGCAGCGCCCACTCTACTATCGCAATCGTACGGTATCTGCTTCGGTTGTCGACATCGTCACACCTCGTCAGTCGAAACGCCGCTTCAACCCCTCTATCGTTGAGCAATCCTCTGTCCCACAGCCAATCTCACGTGCACCCAGCCTACCATCCGCAAGGCTGAAGCGCCGTCGCGTGACGAACTCCTCTTCTCCACGACCCGAGGAAGCACATGTAGCGATATGGAACGCAACCCCTCGGCAATCACGAGAGCCGCCGTCACCCTTCTATTCCTCACAACCCGCACTACCACGATCGAACTCAGACGTCATGAGCAGACCAAGCCAGCGGTCCGTCGCTATAGCAGGTAAATCAACGCCTTTCGCATACGCAACACCGCACTCGGGGCCCTTCCCGGCTGGCCCTGGCTTCAACGCTTACAATAACGGCGGTGATACCGAACCAGATGACGACAACGACGCGTACGATAACGATGACGGGGAGAAGAGTTGGCGTGGCGTTACCGATGACGACAATGACCACGACAATGACAGCGCTTCAAGCTCAGTACTTGGTGCTGAAACGGGTGCGCAAGAGGGAGCCAGTTTCTCAGGTGATGACAGCGGGTTTGGCAGTGACAACGGGGAGGATAGCGATGCGCCGTCGGACGACGAGGGTGAGGTTTATGCGCAGCGTCGACATGGTGAAGAGGATGAAGATGAAGATGACGAGGACGTTTTTGACTCTTTGCTTAGTATCATCGAAGCGTAGATACGCGGGGTTGATTTACAGATGATTTGGATTAGGTCATCATGTCATGCAAGAAGAGCAAGGAATCTGGATATTCGACATCCAGCTAGGAGCATTTGAAGAGAAGCACACACACACATATCGGCATAGGCGTTCTAAGGCAGGGAGATCTTGTACTATATTGCTTCCATCGTACTTGCAGCGTTTTGTTCTCCGTTTTCGGAACCTTGTTCTTTCGGTTCCTGGTTAGCGGGGTGTGTCTTTGTATACTACTAAAATTGGTCGTTGGGGGCATAGCTATACGGTGAAGTTAGGGTTGATGGAGGAAAGTACCTGCTCTCTCCCCTTATGGTGGCTGAGCTAGAAAATGAATAGTTTACAGTTAGTGTTCTGCATTGGTGTATTGGATGTGGAGAAGGTGATTGATGTGAGTCTTTTATTAGCTATGGTACAGAAACTGAGCTCTCACGATGAGGCAGCGTCTAAGCCACAAAGAACTACCACCATGCATGTGAATATCAACCTTCATATCATCGCTCAAGGTGTCTGCTTTCTGTTGCCCGATTCGGGACAAGAGACAGTATCTGCTTCTCAGCCAGTGTCAGACGTGATCAGAAAGCCAGGAGCGTCTTTCAGTACGGCAGTCTTGTCGAACACATCGAAGCAACCAATCCACACACCCTTCCCCTCATGGCCACCAAGATTCAGTACACGCATAGCCTCAACGAGCTTGTCGCGAGTAGTAGCGCCGTACCGGAGATGTTCTATCGCATCTGGCGCCAGATATACTTTGCTGAGACCAGGTAATAACAACCGCGGGTGTATTTGAGGAAGCTCTCCGGAAGTGGAGAAGAGACGCGTCGTGGACACGTAATTGTAGCTGATGGAGATGGTTTTGATGGCGCTACGCTGACGAGAAGTGAGTATCTCGGTGAAGAGCTCAAGAGCTTGAACCGATCTGAAATTGAAGGAGTTGATCTCAAACAGGAGGGGCGCGCTTTCGAAGTAAAGCTGACGACAGACGAGTGTTACAGTCAGGCTCTGTGAGACGCGCTTCATACCATAACTGTCGTGGAAGTTGGTCTGGCTGCAGGCAGTGAGACGAAACTGTAGTGGGAGCCCGGAGGGTGCTCCAGCTGGCCTTGATCTAGGGCTGTCGAACAGAACGACTATGTGTCCTCCAACAACATATCCGAGTATCTTGTTGCGAAGCTCGCCCGGAAGACGAAGAAGCGGGGATTCGGTCGAGTTGCGGGTAGTACTGAGCGTGTTAGCGATCAAGATGGTCTTTCTGCTGTAGCCAGACTCTGTCACTTACATCTCTGATACCGCACCAGATACTTCGGCACTAATTGATGCCATCTTGTCGATGTAACCGCGCGTCTCGGGCTGAGAACACAGTGGAGGGTGGGAGAACTAACGTAGGTGAGATAAAGTGGCAGGAGCGAACTTGTCAACAAACGAAAGTCCGTGCTGAAACTGACGCGGTGAGTGACCAGCGTGCTGACACATCTTCTGTCTGTAATTTCCGACGAGTAGACAGATAGACGAGTGAACCAGAAGTACACAATGATATCAAGATGTCCAAAGTTCCTAGTCTATACCCAGGTACCAATGTGAGCTACAGAGTGAAATCAGCTCTAGAGACCTATTGCAGCTTCTCAATTCCTTTCTGATATGGCATGAATGTAGCATAGACAATTGAAGCATCATTCGCATCACCAGACATTGCTGAAGCTGTGTTGCTCACCAATTATGGTGATCCCACTGTGACGTCATGACATGTGAATGTGACAGCTGCATATGCTGGGCAACCTCTCAATTCCTCAAGACGTTACTTATGGTAATAGACAAGCGTGTATACTAAAAACAATGTGATTTCATCTGCATCGAGCGAGAACATCTTTATTTCTCTACTACCCTACTTTACATTAACCTGATCAAATTTACTAGTTATCCAACATGCAGTCCGTCCTCCACAAAGTCATTGGCTCTAAAGAGGTCCACCTAGAAAATCTCGACGGTCGCGTCGCAGTAGTCACCGGCGGTGCCCTCGGAATCGGGTACGGCCAGCCTCTCCTCCCTTCTTCCGAATCTTCGCTTATACACTTAAAGATATGAAGTTAGCTGCGCGCTCGCCCTCGCAGGCGTGAAAGTCATTATGGTGAACCGCAAAGAAGAGCAAGGCGCCGATGCTATCTTAAGCATTAAGAAAGAGAAGGCTGACGCGCAGGTCGAATGGAAACACTGCGACATGGGCAGCCTAAAAGAAGTTAAAGAAGTCTTCTCTGAACTGCGCAACTCGCTCGACCGTCTTGACTTTCTTGTTCTTTCCGCTGGTATTAACACGAACTTTTACAGGGAAGACGCGGATAGAATTAACTGTTACTTTAGAGTGAACTTCCTTAGTTACTTTTACGTGTGCAACTAGCTGTAGCTAGTACTACGTATTAGAATTTAAATATTTAGGTAGCTAGTTTCTAGCTACCTTAGTAGCTAGTATATAAAGGCAGCTTTACTACCTACTTTTAGTATTTAATTAATTTTTATTTTATTTTATTTTAATAGGTTATAAGCTTAAATTTCGCGTAGTAAAATAAAGATACTTATTTTTCTCTCTTTTTCTTTTTAAACTCTCTTACTAAGCGCGTAAGTATTTTTTATAATAAAGCCTATAATCTTCTATAATATAGTAATCTAAATACTTCTTTTAGACGTAGAGCTCTTAAGAACTAGAAAGAACTAAAGCTTATTTTAAATAAGCTTTTATTTAATATTAATTAAAAAGTATTTCTAAAAGAGATAAAAAAGTTTTCTAAATAGTAAGTTTAAGCTAAGTTATAAAGATAAAGTCTTTTACTCTTTAAAACTAATCTTTAGCTATTAACTTATAGCTTTTAGTATTTTTTATATAAGCTTATTATACTTAAAAAGATAAAAATAGAAATAACTAAAATCTATATAGCTACTATAGTAGCTTTTATTTACTAAATATTACCTTTTATATTATATACTCTAGTTAGAACCTAAACTAAAAAAGCTTTAAAAAGTTATTTATAAGTAGTAATTCTACTTCTTTAATAATTTTAGAATATTCTTAGTTATTAAAGATAAGACTACCTACTATAAATTTTTAAATTCTACTTTATAAAATACTTTACGCTAAAGATACTTATTATATAAAATATACTTCTAGAACTTTTACTCTAGCTAACTATACTTTACTAAAGCTACTATATAGTATTTAAAAAACTACGCGCGTTTAATAACTATAGTTTACTAAAGCTACTACTTAGTTACTAGAAAATTATAGTCTCTATATAGTATATAAAAATATTATTTAGCTTAAATTTTATAGCGTAGAGTTTAAGTAGTAGTAACTATTTTAGAGATACTATTTTTTATATAGAAAATAGTATAAATATACTTATAGTTATATAAACTATAAAAAAGATCTTAAAATTCTAATAAATTTTAGAGTAGAACTAAAAATAGGCTAGCTAGAATTATTAGTAGCTATTAGAGCTAATAATATAAGTACTAAGTAAGTAAATTTAGTAGTAACTAGTCTAAAGCTAGTAGCTATTAGCAACACTATTAAGAAAGAAAAGCTACTTAAATTACTAGATCTTATAGGTAGTAGAGCTACTAGAGGTAAGCTAAGAAGAACTACTAAATTTAAGCTATAGTAATAGAGCTATAAATAATAAATAGCTAAGCTTCTAGTACTAATAAATAGCTAAGATACTAATAGCGCTTTTTAAAAGCGCTAAATTATTCTATCTCTTTAGTAGTCTACTAGACTAGCTTTAGCTTTTCTAAAATAAGATCTAGTTCTAGATTATAAAAAGAGACTTAGTTCTAGATTAAAGATAGTAGTAGCGTCTACTATTACTAAAGAGAAAAAGTACCTAGTAGTAGTAATAAAAGAGCGTAAAGCTAAGTAGATAGCTAAGTAAAATTTTTAGGTAAATATAGCTAGTAGATATCTTTAGTAGCTAGCTTAACTAGTAGGCTAATAAGTGTAGCGCTTTATTTTAAATATAGCTTATACTTTCTAGCTCTTTTATTTTAAGTTCTACTACTAAAGAAAGAGATAATATATACTAGCTACTACTACTAATACTACTAGTATAAGTAAAACCTTATAGATAATATAAATCTATTATTACTATAATATTTACTCTAATCTTACTTACTATAGCCTTTAATATACTAAAAGTACCTTAATATATACTATTTTTAATACCTTATAGCTAATATTAAATTAACTTCTTTTAATACTAATAACTTTTTATATACTCTTTTAAGCTTTAAAACTAATTTAAGCTACTTTAGCTTTCTTACTACTAAAAGTTAGCTTAGTTAAGCTAGCTTTTATAATCTTTTTAGCTTTAAAGCTATTACTTTTTTATTCTATATACCTAGCTCTTTAATTCTTAAAAGTAAATAAGTCTACTATAACTTTCTTAACTCTAAGATCTTTATATACTAATAGTAAGTAGATAATAAGATTAAATATTAGATAAGAGAAGCTATTATTTACTAGGTAAAGACTAAACGTGTAGCACTATTAGATTTAGAATTACTTTCTCTACTATAAAAATAATACTATAGAAATAATAAGCTTTACTAAGGTTTAGTAAATTAAGCTACTAGAAGAATTTAATAATTAGCTATAATAGAAGCGCTAAATAACTAAGTTCTTAGACTTTTTTAGCTTTACTAAATACTTTATAAAATAGTCTAATACTATTAAGCTATAAGAAGTTAAAAGTAAGAGTATAAAGAAGAAGGCTACTTACTATAAAACTTAGAAGTAAAACTAAAATAAAGCTATCTAGATAATTCTTTCTTACTATAGTACTAACGCTAAAATAGTTCTAAAAGAAGAGAAAGAAGAATAGATAGTAATAAAAGTAGTAGTAGCTTTTAAACTTCTTAGAGTACGCTTTTAATCTATAAGTAGCGCTATATTCTAAAATCTATACTAGAAATATAAAAGTATTACTTTTAATACTTATAAAAGAACTATCTTAGACTTTACTAAGTACTTATATAAGATAAAATCTAAACTAGAAGCTCTTAATATAAGTATTAAGATTACTAAGCTCTTCTTTATAAACTACTTTCTTTCTCTAGATCTAAGAGATAGAGCCTATAGTGTACTATTTCTAAGATTACGTAATTACGTAATTACGTAATAACGCGTTACTATATTAGACTCTAAATTTAAACTTAAAAAATCTCTAACGTAAGCCTAGATTTATAACTTATAATACTTATAACTATACTACTAATATAATAATTACTACGCGCGTAATTATAATACACTAACTACTTTATATTTATAATATAATACTAATAGCTATCTAGATTATTAACTAGTAGTATTAAAGCGCGCTTTACGTAACTACTAACGCTAAAAAGTAACTTAGTAAGCCTAACGCTAGCACAAAGCCTCTAAACTAATCTAAGATACCTATATAATACCTATATAATTATCTATATAATTACTAGTAACCTATATTCTATACGTAATTATACTTAAGCCTAGCTATATTAGCTATATTTACTATTACCTACCTATCTACCTATCTATTCTCTATCTATACTAATAAGTTCTTAGCTCTTTTATAGTAGGTATCTAAACTTTATAATAATACTTAGGTTATTTCTAAGATTATTTCTCTACTATCTTACTAGCTAGGCTATAGTAGTAACCTATCTTACCTTTAAGTCTATATCTAATACCTTGCTTATATATAATAGTACTACCTACTTCTAGCTAAGAGTCTTAGCATTTCTTACTTTCTTTAGAAAGTTTCTCTTATAGAAGCTTAGTATATAGTCTTACTATTATAAATTAGTAAGCAGCGTTCTAAGCTTTCTAAACTAATTAGTTATAATTACGTAAACTTTAGATAGATAGTTACTATAGTACGTCTAGCTATAAATACCTACTATAGTTAAGACTACAAGCTTGCTATTAATTAAGTTAATTATAGCTATTATAGTAGAATTCTTAGAATTAAAGCTCTACGCTAGGTCTATATCTCTTACTATATTTAATACTACCTAGGTATTTTATAGATTAACTAGTATAAAAAGAAAGCTATTCTAGAAGATCTTCTAATTCTTTATAGAGGCCTATAGCTATACCTACCTCTACTTAAGAGCTAGACACTATATACCTATATTATTAGATATAATAATAGAAGTAAGAGTAACTAATATATTAATAAACTATTATAATATTATTATTATTTTTATTATTATAGTTATAGTTATAGTTATTAAGCTTTTAAAAAGAGTTTTAAGAAGTAGATAAAGATATAGAATAGAGAAGAGAATAAGTTTAT